TCTTCCCTTGCTCTCCTAAGCCTCACACCCTTAAGATTTCTTCCCTTGCTCTCCTAAGCCTCACACCCTCTCTATTTATAGAAGCAAGAGAGTGATAGGTGGGAGGTAGGTAAGCGGTAGGTGAGCGGTAGGTGAACGGTAGGTGAACGGTAGGTGAACGGTAGGTGAACGGTAGGTGAACGGTATGTGAGATGTGGTAGGTGAGCGGTACCACATTACAAAAGTGTCATTTTACTTTAGTTCATTAATTAGGGATCAAAATAACACAAACATTCTTTCAAGGTCAACAGGATAATGAATAGCAAAATATCTGCTACAACTTACAGAACCTCTAGTCAATTGAAAACCAAAATCAAGGAAAATGTTTCAGTTCTTAGGTTAAATTTTTTTCTCAAGGTCTACAAATGAAAGAAAGATGGTGGATGTTAGGTCAAGTTCTATTTCTATTACAATCAGTTACCAGAACAAAGTGAATGTCAGTTATTATGATTAAGGAGCCTGCATATTATCTCCATTATACACTAATAAAGCACTTGCTTTGCAATAGAAGTATAGAAAATCATGAAACTAAACTGTTCTGGCCCCTCCTTATTAATTCAATTTCCAGGATTTCAAAATCATGCAAACAAACCCTCCAAACAAGAAATCTTACATAATGGTTAAATAATACAATCATCTAAAATGAATTCCATAATTTCTGTCACCCAGTATTTCAAGAATTTTACTTAATCTGCAGAAATTTAAGCTTGGATATCTACTCACCAATCAACACCTAAAATATTGAAATGCGTATATAGAGAAGTATGAGGTGTGGCAGGAGAGAGTAGCATTACCCCTGGGGTCTTAGGCACCACAAGCAGGTGCCGAAGTCCAAGTTCTCGGAAAAGCACAGCAGCCTTGGCTAGTGACATTGTTTCGACCACAGTGTAAGGTGACTTATTTGCAATAGGGTGAAGATCTACATACATTTCCATTTCCTCCTCAAGAATATCAAGGTCTTCTAACTTCATTCCCTTCCCAGACCCTGCCTTAGCAAAGTCAAAAGCACCAAACCTCCTCAACGCCTCAGACAAGCCTGTTAGCTCTCTCTCCCTCGTGAACTTCTTTCCTTTAAGCAGGACAAGCAAGTGTGACCTCAGCACAAGCCCAACCAACTCCGGTGCATATGAGAAAGGTGGCTCATCAACCACCGGAAATCCATTATGGCCTGTCATCTTTAGAGCATGAATAATATTACCCACCTTTTCCACTCCACAAAAGGTAATGAGAGGTCCAGAGACAACATCCCCAGCAACCATATGCCTCATGTAAGGCTCAGCATGAGCCTCCAGGTAAGGCAAACCTTTCATTTCAACAATCTGATCATAGACTCCCTTGTTAAAGCAATCAGCTACGGTTTTAGATAAGAGGAGAACGAGCATAACCAAGGGAAGCATTAGAAGATCGTTAGTAAGCTCTAAAAGAATGATGCAGACGGATACGGTCATTCTCATAGTTCCGCCAAGAAAAGATGCAGCTCCAAGGACGGCAAAGAGGCCAGCATTTAGGTCTGTAAATGGGCCCAGAAGAGTCCCAACAATGCGACCATAGGAAGCTCCAGCAAGAATAACAGGAATAAAAAGGCCTGAAGGGATAGCAATCCCGTATGTTACGAGACCAAGGAAGTAAGTAGAAGCAAAGAAGATAAACAGTGTTGAAATGTAGAATTCGTTATTAGTCCCAGTACTGAACAGGTTGCGAATGGCATCATCGTTAGTGTTAAGGAAGAGGGACGCAAGGTCATTGTAGTGGCCAGGGGGGCACTGAAAGTTCTTGTAATTTCCTGAATGACCAATTGCAGGGCATTGCTCATGAATATTGCTCGGACATGGTGTACAAGATCCAAACCAAGGGAGTCCATATGAGCAGCATGTTGTCAGGAGGGAGACAGTGACAGTAAGAAGAATCTTAAATATTGCGCCTCTCCTGCAGTAGTTAATTAAGATCAAATGTGAAATTTTTTGGTAATTTTATTCAAAGGAAAAGGGTAACATTTGTTACAGTTCGCTGGAAAATTAGGAGCTTACTCATTCACAATGCTATAAGTACGTACAACCCTGTCAATGATGAGATTGTAGAGGCCTCCAAACACACCGCCAATCACACCAAGAACAATAACTGCCATCAAATCTGCACTTTTATATGTCGTCAAACCAGAACTTACGTCAAACATGATTAGACCTCCTTTTCCGAAAAGCCCACATTTACCACTACGACAGTACTCTATGAAGGCTCTCAATACCACAGCAACCACCGCTGTAGTGAAAAAAGTTCTCCAAAGTAGAGCGCTACGCCACCTGAACAACACAAAAATTAATAATTAAGACTATAGGGCCTTTTTTTAAGGATTATCTTTTGTATCCTAATATCAGTAAATATTTTTTAATAGAGGAGAACCAGTTTATCAATAATTATGTTGAATCCAAATTTATGAGATCCGCCCAAGAAATAGAGCGTTAAAGAATGGGAGAGAGAAAGAGAGAGGGAGAACAATAGCACAATAATGAACAGTAAATTTGTGTAACATTTATTCATTAAATGGTCCCTCTATTTATAGAAAAAGTTATCATACAATTATATGTGATACCCCTAAAGTACATAGGTACATCGGGAGCCCATGGATATGAACGGATGGCCATTAGACCGGGCGGCTATCAAGCCATGCGGTAGTGAGGTCGAGTGGCCATCAAGTTGGGTGCCTGTTAGGCTGGGAGACTGTGAGTCAGGGCGGCCGTTAAACCGTGCATTTGTAAGGTTGAGCGGTTGTGAGTTCGGGCGTTTGTCAGGCCGGGTGGCCGCTAGCTGAGGTTCACGTCATTCTCTCTGCAACTGGAAGATAAATTTCATCTTCTCGGTCTATCCGAGTTGGTGTAGCTCCAGTGACGGACAAAATTAGAGAGAGAAAGTCGTCTTAGAGTCACATTAAACATCGACCATCTGATGATCCGATTAGAAAAGTAAATGTTTTATATTTGACTTATGTTAAAAAAGGCAGGGGTAGACGGTTGGTTTAGTAGAACAACATGCACTTGTCACCCGATCTCGAAATGAGCCGAGTTAGAGCTGCAATCTGGCCGGGAAATTTTTGAACTGCTCGGGTACTCCGTGAAGGCGGCATGTTAATCAATGTTTGGAATTTGTTGGGGTTAGCTTTTAAGCCTCTGAGGGTTAGAAGACAACCTAAGAACTTGTTGGTTGAGGCTTCAAACGTGCATTTACAGGGGTTCTATCTCATATTATATTTTCTTAAGGTTTGGAAATTTTTTTCTAAGACTTTTACATATTATTCTACCATCCAGCTCTTTAGAAGGACACCATAGACATAAACCTCAATATTCTTTCCTTTCTGGTTTTTTAAAATTATATTTATTAAACGTTGGTATGCTGCCCCAGCATTTTTAAGCCTAAAGAACATTATATTATAACAGAACACTCCCTCGGTCATAATGAAGGCGGTTTTCTCAGCTTCCGCCTAGTACATCCTCATCTGGTGATAGCCGGAGAAAACGTCCAAGAAGCTCATTACCAAGTATCCTACGATTGTGTTCACCAAGGCGTCGATCCTTGGCAACAAGTAGCAATCCTTCGGGCGGGCGGCAACTGAATTGGTTAAGTCGATGTACCCCGCCTCTTGCAGCTACAACGTCTCCTCCGTGAAGGGCCCAGCCAGAACGATCATTGAGTTCCTCGTCTTCTGCATGATCGGTTGGACTGTGGGGCTCACGTTCAACCTATGACAGGCAACATCAGCTGGTATCCTAGGCATCTCCGCGATGAACCAAACGAAGCCATCACGGTGGTCCCGAAGCATTAGAATTAGAAGCTCTCGGTGTCCTGCATCAAAACTATCACTTATTAAGAAAGATTTACTGAGCTAGTCTTCGCCGACGGGGATCTCTTGGATGGCCTCATTGGTCTCGAGGCTGCCCCCCTTACGGTTCTACAGGTCGAGCGGCTCCTGTTCCACACTCAATCACCTGGAGGTAGCAGACTCTGAACTGCTCTAAAACTCCCATAACAGTGATTATTTTTGTCTCCCAGGAACTTTATTGCGGCGTGGTTGGTGGATACCATGGCTCTGATGCAGTTTAGCAGGGGGCGGCCAAAAATAGTGTTGTAGGTTAGGGGTGAATCCACTATCAAGAAATCTTTTGTCTTAGTAAATTGTTTCTCTCCTTCATCCTAGGTGACTACTAATGGCATTACGCCCAATGCCTCCTTTCTTTCACCTAAAAAACCAAAAAGTAGGTCGGCTGGCGCTACTAACCGATCGACCTGAAGATTAAGGTTATCGAATATTGACTTGAACAAAATATTCATGAAGCTGCCAGTGTCGATGAGAAACTCCTAACTTGGAAGTTACTAATTATTCCGATAATGAGTATGGCCTCGTCGTAGAGGTTTCCCCATTGAAGAAGATCGTCAACTATGAACGTGATGGGAAGACAAACTCCTCTCTTCTGCAAGGATGCGAGGTTGCATAACTCGGAGCTCCGCCAAGGGGCATCTGTTCCTCCGAGGATAGCCAGAACTATCATAGCAACATGGACGACGTTCGTCCGGACGGAGCCAGGTGGGGCCTCTAGTGTTGGCGCTTTCCCATGTCTCTGACCAGAGTGTCCCTGGGCCAAAAACTACTTCAACTTTCCAGCCTAGATCAACTCCTCAATGAGACTTTGGAGGTGCCTACATTCCTCCATATCGTGGTGGCGATCCCGATAATTACAATACTTTTGCGCATATAGGAGAAACCTTTGGCTCTCATTGGCACGGTTTCCTTGAAATATTTTGTCTTGGATGGCGTCTCCGATTTCCGCCATCGACACCCTCAAAGGAGTAGTCCGCAAGCCATCTTAATCTCCATATGGTTGTCTGTAACGTTGTGCAGCCTCTCATAGTACTGGGCTAGCCTCTTATAGTACTGGGTAGGCCTCGGGTCTCGATTCCTCACCTGGCCACCGTGTTGGTTGTACCGTCTGGTCCTTTCATTATCACGAGAGGACTGGTCTCCTTCGAAATGACGTCGGACGGGTGGTCTGTGTTCCCCCCTCAACTTCGACTCACTACCAGAAGGAGCTCTCTTTAGAGCATGGCTCCCTTCCGGTTCTCTTTTGGGGGAAGTTTCCTCCACTAGCATGTGTTTGTTGGCTCTCTCCGACAGCTCAAACAAGCCTTGGGGTTCATTAATGTTGAGGTCATATGAAAACCTCTTGAACCCCAAGCCTTGCTTCAAGGTGGCTACGGCCGCGTCAGCCTTAAGGTCTTTGACCTCCAACATTTCTCTTTAGAAGTGTGAGACGAACGCGCGCAGACTCTTGTGTTGTCCTTGCTTGAGTTGCTACAAGGACTACACGCTCTTGGTGGGCTTCCGGGCGCTGACGAACTGAGCTAAGAACAATCTCTTAAAATTAGCAAAGTTGCTAATGATCCCAATCAGAAGCGCATGGAAACACTTTAAGGCAGACGACCTCAAAGTGGTGAAGAACAAACGACACTTGAATGCGTCTGAGATTTTGAGCAAGCGCGCGATTGACTCAAACACAACGATATGGTCGACAAGGTCTGACAGCCACTAGTAAACCTCCTAGGCCGACAATTTGAATTTTTTTGGGGGCTCCGCTCAAGATACTTGTAGGGAGAAAGGATTTCCGATTGACGCGGCGCCGCAGTGATACCTAACCATTGTCTTTCCTCATATGCGGATCCTGCACTGTCTTGACACTGTGAGTCGCCGACCCCCTGAGAACCATTCACCCTCCTGCCATTGTGTGTCGCCGCCATTTACTGTGGTTGCTTCAATCTTTGCAAGCCCGATCTCCTGCCATGGCAATGAAGACCCTCAAAACTTCGACAATCTAGCCCGACACCTGCTCCATGATCTGAGTTCTTATCTCCTGCATTCCTGTCTGCATGCCCTCCTCGATGTCGTCTTGTGGTTGATCTACGTTGACTATTAAACTTTGGTCACTCCCTTCTTTTTGTGATCGTTGTGCTCCTCTTCTTATCGAGGCATGGCTCCACGCTCATCGCACCTTTTAGGATGTTGAATTCAAATTTGTCCGGGAGACACTACTAAGGAATAGAACACTATAGGATGTGAGAGAGAAAGAAAGAGGGCGAGCAATAACGCAATAATGAATCGTAAATTTAGGTAACCTTTATTCATGAAATAGACCCCCTATTTATAGGAATGGGTCATCATACAATTACATGTTGTACTTCTAAAGTACATATGTATGATGAGTATTTCAGTGTTTACATAAATATGATCTATGGGGCGCATGAATATGACCGGGTGGCCATTAGGTCGGGCAGCTGTCAAGCCATGCAGTCATCAAACTGAGCGTTCGTTAGGCGGAGCAGCCATCATGTTGGGCGTCTGGAAGGCCGAATGGCCGTCAGAAGGGGCGTCCGTCAGACTGGGCGTCCACTTGCTGAGGTTTCACGTCAATCACTCTGGAACTGGAGGATATATTTCATCTTCTCGGTCTATCTGGGTCGGAAGGCGTCAGGTTATTCCGAGTGGATCTGGTCAGATGAATTTTTCATGGGGTGATCTACCTTTTATCCGTCTGAGGTGTGTTGTCTTCCCGGCACGCAGGGGGTTGGCTCGCTAAGCGTGCGATCCTGAATCGTCCTTGGTAGGTTCCGTGGGGCCACATCACCTCTTCCTCCATCCGCGAGATGTCTTTGCGATTCGTGCCAACACATTTTCATTATACAAATTATTCATAGATATAGTCAGCTGAAAAAAATATGGAAATAACTTGGTGCTGTTCTATTTCAAGCGCCTTCAAGATATAGCAATTCTCCATCTAATGCAACAAAACCAGTGATCTGTTTGATGAAAAGCATGATTCAAGTCCTTCCCCTAAAGAAAATGGCTCCAGTGCCCCAACGACACAGAGGTTACCAAATAATTGCTTACACTTATCAAAATGAAAATTTTAATTTCATATCATGATGAATGTATAGAGGAGAGAGAACAAACAAGGAGGAAAAAATGCACAGCAAAATACCAAGAAGCTGCTTCTTCTAAAGCAAAGAGAACCCCGCCAACAGGAGCTCTGAAAGCCGCTGCCACACCAGCAGCAGCTCCACAAGTAATTAAGTCCCTTCGATCCCGATCACTCTTAAAATATCTAAGCCATGTACATGTCAGATGGTACTTGCGAGATCCACCCTGACCTAGTAAGTTGGCAATGCATGCCCCCGTGTGAACCATAGGCCCCTCCTTACCCACCACAAATCCAGCTGAAACACCAAAAATTGAACCAAAAATCTGCAGAATGACACAGATAGCCAATTCAAACCCACATGCAACAGTGAGAACGCATTCAAATCAGACAAATATGATGCAAGGGAATAATGAAAATAACATCCGCATGGCCTGAATAAAATAGTAACTTCCATCCTACTGTAACCCCTCTCTCCTCTCTCCATCTCCCCTCTTGCATGCAGGCAACGAAAACTTTATATGATTTTAAAACATTATTTTTCAAGTAGGCTGACAATCAAATTTGGAGAGCTAAAGGGTAGCTAGGGTAAAAAGCTTAAGAAGGAAACTATGTTTGAGCTACTAGAAAGGAAACTAAAGAACAAGTTTGAACTAGAAAGGAAACTAAAGAACAAGTCCTACATATATACGGGGTTCATAGACAAAATAGGCTTAATTAAGTTGAAAATGCGTGAAATGGCTTAATTTCAAAGTTAATCAAGTTTGAACTAAGAATTTACCTTCACAAAAAGTGTGCTAGGAGCCAAAATAGACTGTGCATCGATTCCATTGAGATAGGCTTTAACTTCAGGTATACCAGACCCAGCTGCAGCTGGAGCAACATAAGCACATAGGGCAGCTGCCGCAGCGGCCAAAACTACATTACAACCAGCATAAGCCACAAATGCCAGCAAGTACCTGCATCACAAAAAAATGTTCAAATTATTGGAACCAAGAAAAGTACAAAATATAGAAACAAAGGAGACTTTGTTGAATAAATGAATAATAAATAAAAAAATCCCCTTTGAAATCTCCTTATCCACCTTTGTCACAGCAATAAAATTTCACTAGTAGCCGGTGTTGCAAAAAAGAAATCCTACAAAATAAGAGAGTTGCTGGAACTACACTACAAATAGTTGTAATAGAAGAAGCCCGTGCAAGAAGCCACACTACTAAATCATAAAGATGTAACAATCCAATAATTATTATAATAAAAGTTCTTCAAACTTGCTGGAGATCGAAAACTCCCTAGATTAGTAGAAAAAACAAAACAACACTCCATGGCAAAAAAAAGTGATAAAATACAGAAATAATCAAAAAAATTTGGAATCCAATGAAATTTAAAAAGTTACAAGTATTGAGGATACTGACACAAATCAAGCTAGGCATCTACAAAAGATTCTAACTAAAATAAAAAAATAAATCCATTAAAAAAGGATTTAATTTTCATTTCTGCCATTCGTCTTAACTCACATATTTACATTTTCTTTTTGTTGGTAGACTATGAGATTTTTCCCTTACCACTAATAAAAGCAATGAAAACTATGTACAGCAGGATAACAAACATTCAAAATAACTAGCCAGAAGCATCATAATAAAAAACAAAAACAAATGGTCCCACACTCAATGGGGATCCTATTCTAAGAAACTTAAAATGATACAGACCTGTTTTTGCTACCCTAATGAAATATAAAGGTTGAGATTTTATATTAAATCGAAACCTACACAAAAATATATGGAATACAAATTTAGGAAAATTAACATAGAGCTTGAATCACCATGCATTCTATACCAAAAAAGATCTCCATTGCACGAGCCCAAAGCTCTGCTTATAAAAGATATCCCGTACTACAAGATAACCAAAAGTTTTTCCAGATTAAAAAACACATAATAAATATTGAGATGAACAATTGCTCAATCAGACCAATTTCTTGAATAAAAGTTCAACTTATTGACAACCCTCCCAATTTCTACAAACCAGAAGATAGCGTTTGGTTTGCAAGTTTAAGAACGTCTGATTTAATTTAATAGAATAGCATGAATTCAAAAAACTCTGCAAAACAATTAACAAAATGCTGCAATACAATTCCGTCAAAATATTCGATAGCAATTGAAAACCCATCACCCAATTCTACTTCGCTTACTCTTGCTCAAAGAAACAGTATAATTTGCAACTGCATGTTTTAGTTCAAAAAACCATAAGGACAAAAAATTAAAAATAAACAAAAAAAGAAAGAAAATAGAGAAATAGGCACATGTTTTACCTCTGCTCCAGCATGAGATTGTTGGTTAGCACGAATTTAAACCCAGCAATGTTCTCAATCGCAAGATTGTTGAAGAATCCAACTATTCCAGTTGCCAACCCGATCAGCAGAGCAAGCGTCCACTTGAGAATTACGTACTGAAAAATCTGAACCTTCGTCCTCGACCTCCAATCCTCGTTAAACAAATCATTCTCCACAATCCTAAACATCAAATGACTCCAAACATATAAGAAGAACCTCCAAATCAAATAAAACATCAAAAAACGATTAGCGATCAACGCGCGAAACTAACTCGTAATCAAGGCTCTCGATGGGGCAGACATTGGCACCAACCAAAGCTATCTGAGAGGTGGTGTTCATTGTGCGTTTGCGCAGAAGCAAAGGCTCCCGAATCCCGTCCTCGCTATCGGTACCCATGGAAGTGTAGTAGCAATCATTTTCCATCTCATTTCCTCTAGCTTCCATCATGCTCTCGATATCAATTCCCGCTCTCTCCCTCCTCTCTCTGTGCTCCATTTCCCCTTCCATTCGTGGCCCGTCCCTCCTCCCCGATTGGTTTCCTTTTCTTTACCTGCTGTAAATTAAAGAACGCCAAGCCTGCCCTGAAAAGTTCGTTTGGGAGTTAGCTTAGGTCCGCTAATAATTGAATTTAATATTGGCTTGATATGACAAGGGGCCAATATATGTAAAGTTTTGGCTCATTCCCGATAATTATGGCGAGGAATATTTACATATACATCACTCAATTCTAATGGATTTGCATATCTATTATCTAAATTTTAATTTTTCGATATATGCCACTCACCTAAGAACTAAAATGCGCATTTTTCTTTTTTCTTTTAATTCAAATAGTGGTATTTTTTATAAGGTATAAATGTAAAATAAAATTTTTTTATTGTACAGAAAGATCAAGATAAGTTTAATCTGAAATGCTAAAAGCCAAATTATAGATGGGGAAAGAGGTAATTTGAATTGAGAATTTTTCATAAAATTTAAGCGTTCGTTAGGGCGAGCTTGTGCGTTTTAAGATAAGTGTTTTAAGGCGGGCGGGCTGCGGGGTTCGGCCCGAGACCTGCATTGAGTGTAAAAACTCAAATGTCGTTTCGGATAAACTGATGAAACGCACGAACCAAACGGTACGACGGTATTTTGAAAATGTCGCCCGCACTTACAAACTGCCCCAAACGGGCCCTTAAATCGAATGTTTTGATATTCTATGTCATCTTTAGAAGGCTAAATTGAACATCACATTAGCTACTGCTCCTTAATAATAACTAAAGATGATCTCACATGCAAGATATATGTTTTTTTTGGTACAATTTCTTCAATTTAGGGTTTTTAGAAAATAAAATTATCATACCTTGATATAAATATGAGGTAATTCAGATAGGCCATATGTTTATAAAATCATAAAAAATGAAAAAAAATTGAATTTATTATTTGAAAAAATATGTAAGAGTAAAAAGATAAAATGATAGCTATAAATCATACAAATTCTAAGTGAGGAAATGAAATATTTGCAAATATAATTGAACTCCTACATACTTTAGCTAAGTTAAACTTTTACAGTACAAAGATAATGGAGTAGAAGTGTTGAATTGGGTTAACGAGTCATGGTTAATTTTGGCTCGAAACCATTCGACAAGAACTCAATCGTGAATATTAAACCGGTCATGAACCACCCAAACACCCGACTTGCATCCCACTCCCAAACCCAAATCCGACCCATTTAACATAAATCATAAACGATATTCGGGTCTAATTCTGGTTCAATTCAATTTCAAGGCAATCTCAGGTTGGTCAATTTTGAGTTAGCAGGTGAATTCGGGACAGCTTTGGGTTGGTGAGCTAACTCATACCCAATTGTAAAAACGGGTTAGAATTTCTGACTCAAACACTACCTAAAAATTATTCGGGTCAACATAAACCCACATTTTTCAATTCTGAGTTCGGGTTGAATTGACTTGTTGGGTCAAATATTAACATTTACATCCATAGCACACAACTCTTATATAAATGCATATCTAACACCTAAACTTTCTAAAAAGTGAAATATATTTTTTATGCATGGATCATAAAATCAGTCTAAAAAAAACTAATTACCGATTAAATAATAGGGGAATTTACATACATACCAAATAATTGTTGTGCATTTTTTTCTAAATAATAATGAATAAAGAAAATGATTTGTCTCTCCTCTGGCATATTTAGGAAAAAATTATTTCGTGCGGACATCGCATGCAGAGATGCATGCAGCGTCCGATCTCTACCGTTGATCTCAGCTTTGGTGGGATTTAAAAAAAAAAATTGAAAGTAGGTCTCACCGAAATGATGATCTACGGTGGAGATCCGAACGGAATAACTTTTCATACTTAGGATGGCTTGCGTGTGGGGGTAAATATGCACCTGGACCTATTAGCTTAGTTGACAAAGATGGAAGGAAAAAAAAGCAACAAAGACAGAAGGAAAAAAAAAGGAAGCAATTAATAATAATGAGTTAATGAGCTAATAATAGGACATTACGTGGATTACGATGATCATACCGCTAACCTACCTTATCTGCAGTTTCTTCCAATTATACCATCCCACCAAAATTAATGGATTTGAACGAAAGATTATCAGGAGTTTTCTCTAGAAATTTTTGGACTCGGACAATCACAGGATGAGACAAAATCACACTAGTAATTCTAATCTTTTTATGCAGTTCCATTCGCATTCAAAAAGAGGAATTAGGATCGATTCAATTATATAACGAAATCCAAACCTAGTAGATCTCAAACATCCGAGATCGGAATTGGCGAATCAATCATATCCGCAGTAGGAGAATTTTTCCAAGCACAAAATGCGTAGAGATGCCGAGAAGAAAGGGAGAAGCGAAAGAAATCAAATGAAGATACGTACGAAAAGAGATGAGAGTGCGATCTCGACCGAACTCTTCTGTGGTTTCTCAATGTTAAAGCTCACATCGACGTAGCGATTACCAATTGCTCCACGAAATGCTCCAGAGAAATTTAGAGCAAGAACTAACCCTTTGCGCTTTATGTCCGTGACCTCACGAGCAAAATTGAAAAAGCGAGACGAGCAAATTGGAGACACAGAGAGACAGAGAGACAGAGAGAGGACGGAGAGATGCCAACAATACAAATAATAGTAATAAGCAATTAATTATATGCATAGTGCTCGTATCTTAAAAAATTAGTAGCTTCTTTCATTCAACTTCTCAATTCTCACTCACGTGTCAAAATATAAGCCCCAACACATTTTTTTAATTTTATCAAAATTCTCACTCAAATATCAAAATTCAAGTGCTATTAATATAATTAGCCCAAAAAATAACACTTAAATTATGTATATTGCATTCCCACATCAAGACTTCACTACCTACTCCCTTGCCACCCAAACATTATTAATAAAAAAAACATCACATTGTAAAATTCATAACCTCATATTCCCATTCATAGTTGTTCGGTTAAAGATGCCTCCTACGAGCTCTAGCAAGCTCTCCACTTACCAGTTGTATGGATGTGTGCTTTTCACTAGCTCGTCTCACTTGTACACACAATCATTGTCTATTGTCAGATGCACTAGCAAGCTGCGATTGCAGAGCTCGCCTTAAGAATTCAGGCAAGCCAATATATTAAATCCAAATCTTGCTAGAGAAAGAGAGAAATATAATATGGAAAGAGCATTCATTGACAGGATCTTGGCTGCTGAGTAACTGTCGGATGCATAACACTTATTTTCGCAATAATTACATATTGCTCTCGAAGACCACTACATCTTCTTTAAAAAATCCATGATATTACTTTCTTCCTCCTCCTTCCCCTGTTTTAAATCATTAACTGATGGTATTGTTTTTTTTTCTTAGAACTATCCAATTTCTAAAATTTGACCTTTAATATCATGACTCCACCGTAATATCTAAAACCAAATGTTCGAGTCCAGCAGCGATGAAATGGAGTGCCTGATGAGATTGGCTAACACTAGGGGTGTAAATGAGCCGAACACGAGGCGAGCCAAGCTGAGCTCGTGTTCGGCTCGTTTATATTTCGAGCTCAAAAAGTGTGTTCGTGTTCGGCTCGTTTGCTTAACGAGCTGAACACGAGCTGTTCACGAACAAAGAGTCCTTTTAACAACCCTAATGATGTAGCCATAAGACAATAACGATTTGAGCAAGATTTAAAAATTATTATTTATATTACAACATCATTTGAATCTAATTTAATAATTTTTATTCTATTTTCTTAATCAATATTTGAATTGATTATAAATCTTTGTAGCCTTGTAGACAATTAGATTTTTTTAAAATACTACTTAATATATATATATATATATATAAACTTGATGAGTAGTATTTCGAACCAAAACGAGCCGAACACCGACGAACACATCTCAGTTCGTAGTTCGTTCGGCTCGTTAACTTATCAAACGAAATTAACGAGCCGAACACGAGCTTTTTAATGAGTCGAACACAAGCTGTTCCCGAACAACGAACCATTTTGACAACCTTAGCTAACACCATTAATGGGTGTTAAATGGCGACGAAATTAAAATTTAGGTGTGAGAGATGTAATTTTGATAGTTTTTTGGGCTATATATATATATATATTTACATATAGTTTGCACAACTAACATCACATAAATGTTGTGATAAATGGGTGTTAAATGGGTGTTAAATGTTGCACATCACATCATATATATTTTCTGGGCTAAACATCACATTAATGGGTGTTAAATGGCGTCAAAATTAAAATTTAGGTGTGAGAGATGTAATTTTGATAGTTTTCTGGGCTATATATATATATATATATATATATATATATATTTTTTTTACATATATTTTGCACGGCTAACATCACATAATTGTTTTGATAAATGCATAGGTGGAGTGATAGTGAGTGTGAGGGCATTATGTTCAACGGTGGTGATGAAGTTGGCAGCGGGGGCATATTGTGTGCAAGAGTAGTGGTGGAGTTAGATCTTTCTCTCTAAGAGGGGTTGCATACTTAAAGCAAAGCCTAACCATCACCGTATTAATATTCACTCAATGGTTTGGCCTAATATGGGATTAATTAACTAATATTAGCTTCCAAAATACTTATGTTTTAAATACAACTTTTCTACCTGCCACAAAGTACTCGTAACTTCTTAAGATAATACCCACATTGAGACTCGCACTTTATTTATTTTGTTCAATCTGACGGTCCTCATGCAGGTTTCAATTATATCTAACTAGGAGACTCAAAACTACTTGTAAAATTAAATCATGGTGCTTATGAGATGTTGCTTAGGTAATGTAAATTTAATGATGTGTAGTAAATGTGATTTGATATTTCATATATTTTATGTGTTGTTTGTGTCATTTTTATATTTTTAGGAGGTATATTTGTTTGGTTATAAACTATACAGGTCAAAAGGTAGCAAAGGGGAGTAGTGAAAAGCAAATACATGGTAATGGCTAGATGGTCCCCGACACAATGAGTGCGTTCTTAGCGTGTAATTACTTCAATTTCAATCTTAGAAAATGACGTCAAAAACATGATGCCGCAAAGGTTTTGTAAGGTTTAATTCTTAAATAATTCTCGTTTTCTATCCACAATTTAATTTTACACACTACTAATACTACGCAGGTGCACGTATCTTTTCAAGTAATAAAGGACTTTCTTTTTAAGCCCCAAGTATCGATCCCAAAGGGAAGATGAAAACTCTTTTATAGACTTGGAAAAACTCTACTTAAACAACAAACAAAAATCTAGGAAATAAGGTCAAAAGTTTATGTGTAAAAAGAAGTAATTAATTCCTACAAATCTTATTTCAAAGCTTAAGGAAAATGCTAAGTGTTTCTAAGCTAGTTATACGAAAAAGAATTCAAATTATGTAAAAGTCTTTCCCTTTGCAATGATATCATAATCAGTGTAGGAATCAAATGTTTAAGGGTTTAATTGAAGTTTTGTGACAAATGGGAGCAATCGTATTCTTTACTCTCTTTCGAGTGCATAAAAAATATTGACTAACCTAGAGTTAAGTTCCTAATTCTAAGGTTATGATGGGTAGGCTTTAGTCTCTCACTTCTAGATTACCCACTGTGACCTTTCTTTAGGACTAACAGGTCTTTAAGTTCTAAACTCTAAATCAAATTTGCTAAGGTTTTAGCATATCATCCTAGAATCACCAATATACACCCATCAAAACCTATCTCCCTGTCTATTTGCATTAACCAATGGGCTACCTTATCACCCACCAGATTGATGTGATTCTTACTATTTGAAGAATACATAACCTTCCCGGGTCGTTATAACTTCACAACAAGTTTTAACATACTAATTGGTCAGATTGAATATGTAAATTAAGTACGAAGTAATGAATCATCTTAAGTATGGAATAAGAGAAATCTAAAAACAATTTTAATCCTACACAAGATTAAATCTTATTGTAAGGAAAAAGATAAAAAAAACTACTAAGATCTCATGAGCATAACACAACAAAACATGATTTATATTAAAATTCAGGTTCACACAATAAACAAAACTCAAACAAAATACAAAGTACTTATCTTAAATTCCTCCCAAGAAAATCCTCTGAAGTTCATTTGAAGTATTCTCCAAACTTTCCTTACAAATTCACTCCAAAAGACTCTAAAGACTCTCCACTAAAAAACTCACCAAAAGAACTCCCTTTTTTGGCTTCTCTTGACTTTTTTTAATGATAACTCATGAAACCCCAAGAGTCACTTTAGATGCCTCTTCAAACTTCGTCCAAATTCAATGCATATTGAAGAAAATTGATTTTGGCGCCTAGGCGCCTAATTGTGATGCCTAGGTGCAACCCTTCTAGAAGCCCTGAATAACTGATAGGCACCAAGACGCTGGATATTAGCGCCATGGCGCCAAAGTCTCCATATTTTGGTGCATGGGCACCAAAAGATGGCGCCTAAGCGACAGTTGAGAAATAAGCTCCTTACTCCATTTTGCTCCGTTTTCACTATTTTTTCTATAAAACTCCATATCTTGTACCTAAAACTAAAAACATGCAAAATACTTTTCATTAAAGTGCAACATCATTAAAAATAAACATAAAATGAATATAAAAAGTAACATATTTTTAGGCGTGTCAATTCCCCCAAACTTAACCCCCAAACTTAAATGTTACACAAACTTAAATGTTACATGTCCTCAAGTAACATTATAACTTTAAAAACCAAATTTATATATTTGAGGTAGTGGGTTTAAGTAGATTTTCATATAATTTTTTTCCCAGAAATGTTATAGTGTGACTTAGGAGAAATTCTAGCAAATCAACCTAGTACTAGGGTGTAAGAATATCTCATATTCAACTTATGAATCTTGATTTTCTATTTACTTCAAAATTTATTGAAACTTGTCAAACTAAAGTTTCTTAGAAAGTTTAAAAACAAAATTAAAGCACCCTCTTTATACTAATTTGACCAATAATTTTTGAAATAAGAATAAGCTTAAATAAGAATAAGCTTAAAGCTTAAGATTATTTCTAAGTCTTTTCATTTAAAAAGATTCAAGTGAAACCAATTTTTGATTAGGCATCTTCTCAACTTTCATTTCTTTATACTTTCTTTTTTTTTTTGTAAGGATCTTTTTTCACTCTTTTCTATTTTCATGTGATGATTACTATATCTAGATAACATTTAATTGTTTTGAATTTTACTGTCCTCTTTCTAAATTTTAAAACTCAAAACTTTCCGTCACTTTTTAAAAGTGTAAGTATTAGTTTGAAAAAGGTTTCAATAAATGCTCAATTCTCATAAAGTATAAATCTAAGAATCTTAGCTTCTCAAATATTCAACTCCTTTCTACCATAAATAGCAAAATTATTTTCCTAATGTTTCACACAAAATATCTTAACTCTAGAACAGTTTCTTCACATAGGATCCCAACTAAGCTTTTTCTAACATTCCTAAAATCAAAATTATAGTAACCTAAAAATAACATCATATACCACAAGTCATTTTAAAAGTGATATCAAATGAAATATAAGCTACTAAGGACAAATAAAGTTTAATTTTAAAAAGTTTTTCTCCCTCCCTCAAACAGAAAATTTTTAAAGAGTGCTCAATGAGAATAAGTCTTTTTATTGTCTTGAATGTGTATTTATTGTCTTTAGAT